AAATAGGATTTTTACAACACTAATGCTTAGATGTTAACGCTTAGATGACTAAGATTAAGGGATAAAATCATGATCCAACACGGACTATTGCCAATAGTGGAATTTAAAAAAAAAAAAAAATTTTGAATCAACTTTATAACGATAATACAATTAAAAAACTGTTCCTCCTAGAATAATTTCCAAATTAACTAAAGTCTAACCAAAATTTTCTTAATAAAAGTGGTATTTTCATTCAACGAAAACAAGTATTACAGCTGTAAATGGCTTAAAAAAAACGCCAAGAGCAATTTGACAAAACATCCATTGTAATAAAGAAAACAACTAATTAAACACTGGATTTGACTAAAGAATAGGGAGAATTTTATTCCTGCACCTTTTTTTTTTTTTTTTTAATTCGGTGTGCACGTAACTCCGGAAGGGAAAAAAAAAAAATCAAGCTCCGCTGTAGTTCTTATAATTTTGAGAAGGTCATCCATCAATCTTTGGTTATTTTTACCTTTTGTTTTGTCATTTTTGTGTGCTTTTTGTATTGTTTACTTGTTTTTTATCCAACAAATATATCGTAGTTAACTGTAACAATTTAAACACGATAGGGCTAGAAAAACATTACTGTATTAACAAATATAAGTTGAGAAATATTTGATTAACTTAAACGGATAACATGTTAAATCATTATAAGTTTTCTACACATATACATTAGTAGTGCTCAATTTTTTTTAATTAAAATTTTCTCGTAAAAGCTTGACGATGTTTAATTAGACTTGTATAGGCCTTGCTTGTTTTATTAGTTCAAATTACAATCAAATTTTTATTACAATGTGATTTTTTACTATAAAAATTTAAATTTAATTTTTTATGTTACAATTTTCTCTCTCACATATAAATTCACTATTCAACTCGGGTTGAAAACTCGACCGAACAAAATGAACCAGTCCATAATGTAACATATCACGCGTAAGATAACCACGCGTGGAAGACTCTTATATTTCATAACATACTTGCATATGGAAGCATATATATTTTAAGTTTATCTATATGCGTGAGATGCAACACACACACACACACATATATATATATATATATATATATATATATATTATCAAGTTGGTATGTTTTTTCTAGCGAAAGAAAAAAGGTTGTTATGTTCTCTGTTGTCGTGTCAATGTAAGCGATGAAATAATACCAATAAAAAAGAAAAAGGAAAAACAAACACAAAAACAAGCGATGAAAATATAATCCACGTCCATGCCATCAGACATTTTTTTTCCACTTTAATTTGCAAGTACTTTTGAATTTTAGAGCCCTCGAGAGTCAAAAGGACACAACCACCTGGTTCAGTCCAATCTACCTTTTAAATAAAAAGGACAACATATGGGTCGGGGTTAGGTTTATTTCGAGGGCCAAATTATGTGATTCAGCTTTGTTCAGTACAATTACTCAGCAAACTAATTGAAAATGATAACTCGTGATTTATAATTTTTTAGCACAACTGTCCTTTCGAATAGTAAATTACCTTCAAATTTTTAATTTTAACGATCGATCTTCTGAATTTTTAAAATTATAGTATATCCCATTTTATTAAATTTGTTCAACCTTTTTTTTATTAAATTTAGGAAATTAAAATTTGAGAAATTAAAAAATTTGTGTTACATATGAATTAAGATATTGAAATTTTTTATCGAACGTGCTTTTTTATATGAATTTGACATCATCATTGTTAAAATAAGATATATTGTAATAATTTTATAAATTAAGAGACAAATTACAAAAATAAAAGTTTATAGAGCAAATTGTAAAAACTACGAAACGAAATAAACAATTTTAAACCGTATGTTTTTATATTTGATGCATGTTTGAGTTGGTTCGTGTAACATAAAATAAACTTATTAGTTTTGAGCCAACCCTCTAAACAAGGTTTAGCTCGTTAAATCTACATATCACTAACCCTGCCGACATCTCGTGTATCAATTTGTGTTCTTAAATATTAAGATATGATATTTGAATTTAGATTATATTTTAACAATTGAACTTAATTTACTTGGACACTTTTACGTAGTAGCATTATTCAATGTTTTGTTTTTTTTAGATATTTTCACGTGTTTGTTAATTATTTTTAACATTTGAAAATTTTTAGTTTTTACTAGTGTTGGGTCCCGTAGATTCAACTGGTGAAAAATGGTGAGGTAACATGCTAGTCACCGATTTATTGGTGGCGATTTCAATGTGGCTGAAAGACTCGTTAATCTGTATAAAACCAGCAAAGGATCCACTTTGTTGTCAAACAACCAATCTAATACCTGAGAAATTAAGAGAATAGTAAAAAGGGAAAAAAAAAAAAAATGAAGTATGGTAAAAAAGTTGATGAAGAAAAATTATAAAACTTGGTATATATCTAAGACACGGGCTCAAAACTGGCTGAAAGACACAGGATTTAGAGCAGCTAGGAAACACGAGCTCTAGAGATGAAAATTATTCGGAGGAAGCAAAATTGCACTATGATATATCATAGGCTGGCCAAAAATTTGAATTATTTTGTGGAGACTTTCTCTTTTTTTAAAAACACTGATATTCATTGCTTATCAACCGTCGAATCTATATTAAATACAATCAAAAATTAAATAAAATTACAAAAATAATACATATCTAATGACTGATAAGTAAGAAACACCGGTGTTCTTAAAAAAGAAAAAACACCAGAAAAATTCCTTATTTTGTGCCCTCGACAATTGTCATCCTTCGTCATTTATCCCCCTCTACCTTTTATTTTCTTAGAGAATTTAAAATAATTCAAAAAAAGAAACAACAAACTTCTACAATTAGAATCTTCTAGCGGAGCTCCATCTTACATGACATATTAGAAAAGGTACAGGGCTTGTTCTTTTACATGACTTGAGTTGTGTATGTGAGAGAAAAATACTATAATAAAAATGTTAAATTTGAATTTTTATGAAAAAAACACTGTAGCAACATGACTTAAGTCATGAAATGAACATACTTAAGTAATAAAACGAACATACCCTAATACTTAATACATTGTTACCTTTTATTAGTTAGTAGTTTTAACTTTGTTTGTATTTGTCTTCATATTAGGAAATGATAAAATTTCATATTAGTACCCTGTGTTTTAGTATAATTGTTTTTTAGTACCTTGTATTTTTAGTAATTTTAAATTGGCGCATTGACGTTTTAAAAAATTATTTTTAGTACCTTGATGTCATTTCTTATGATGTAAAATGTCAAAGTTACCCTTCTCATTACTCTACCAAAAACTAATAAATTGAGAAAAATTCTTAAAAAAATATTTTTAATTTAAAGCATTGTTTTTGTTTTTAATTTTTTTAAATGTTTAAAAAATGTCTGAATTTTCCTAAATTTATTATTAGTTTTTTGGTTAATTAATAAGAAGGGTAATTTTGACATTTTACATTTAAAAAAATGACCTTAACGAGTACTAAAAACTGATTTTCTAAAACTTTGAGGTTCCAATTTAAAATTACTAAAAACACATGATACTAAAAAATAATTATATTAAAACACAAGATACCAATATGAAATTTTTCATTAGAAAATATATTGATTTCAATTTTTATTTACTTATTCAATTATATCAATGTAATTTAATATTTATATGGAGTCATTTTATAGGGCTTCTTATTTGGAGTAATTTTGACAAATACCCATTAAAATGATACCATTAAGGATTTTTAGGTATCAACATTAACTTATTGAATTTTACTCATTTAAAGTAAGTAATTTGATAGATTATTATCGATAATTTGACAGATGTCGCCAACTGTAGGTCTTCGATCGCCGAAGACGGGCGTAATTTAACAGATTATTGTCTAAAATTTGATAATTATTATCATAATTTGATAAATTATTATGAAAATGATAGCTTATCACAGTAAAAGAGTAGAACTCCAGAAAAATGTGTTTATGTGTCCGTTTTTGTAACTTTCTCTCTTATTTGTGAATTCTCTCCTTATTTTTAATTAATGAATGCAGGTGCATTACAGAGACACGTTGAATATCTTTATTCTCCTCCCTTCATTTATTTTCCTATTTAATTTTTGTCAGAGGAAAGTGCCAAAACATAAAAGTTCAAGAAATGTTGATACTAAAAAAAAACGTTTATCTAAATTCAGTTACGTTATTAATTAGATAGCATCATATTTCAATTGTTTTTAATATGATTTGGTATGGGTAGAGTAATTAGATGGGGAAATGACACACGAAATATCACAGGAATTTATTAATCGTATCGAACTCCACATCGAGGAACCTTCGAAGAAAAAACACTCCACTAGAGTCGGTAGAAACATCAAACATGGATGCCAAAAACGACAACGCACTCAGAACCAAGTGCCAACGACATCACCGGTTTCCTTTCAACTCGCTTGCAAACGACGCGGACTCCCTAAATCCGCGTACGCGTGGCACGTTTCATGCAACGCATTGTACATAATCGTCACTTTCCAGCATTCGAGGGGCAAAATGGTCATTTCACGTTCCAACAGGGTTCTATCATGACAGCGTGACCCATGCTATAATTCCTCTCACATGCAAAAGCAAAAACCCCTTCCTCGAATTTAACCCTCAATAAAGAAAGCAATCACGACCCTTCACGTCGCGTCAACGATTCCACTTTATTCAACAACTTCAACGGTCCAGATGAAATACCAGCCATCAATGGCCATCTCTTACAATAGACCCGAACGCATTGTAGCTTCCATCCCCCCATCCCCCGACAGAAGCGGCGCGTGCTAAAGTAGTCGCTTAGTCGGGTAACGGAAACGGCAGAAATTAAACCGGTATAGTCAACCGTCAAGGGTAAAATGATAAATTCGACAAACCAAGTCCGGGACATTAGAAAATGTCTTTTTTTAACATCAGAGAGAGAGAAAAAAAAAATTAGAAATAGGATTAAGTAAAGTCATTAGTGGTTCCTGAATTGGATTTAATAAAGGGTTCAAGTCCGGGTGCTAGAGAGAGACTAGAGAGAGAGAGAGAGAGAGGAAGACTTTTTAGAGAGAGAGAGATAGAGAAAGGAGAAGAAGAAGGAAGAGAGAAGAAAAGAAAAAGAGGGTGAGGTTGAGCTGGTTCTGTCTGATCTTCTTGTTGGTTGCTAGAATTGGAAGCTTTTTATTTTTTTTTCTGCTTAAAGTCAGAAAATCTCTCTCTAGATTCCACGTCCTTTTTTTTTCCTTTCTGTTTGGTTCTCGGGAAAATTCGCAAGCTCGTGAGGTTCCAGCTTCTCTGATCCGTCTGGATTTGAGGTTAGTTTCGGAATCCCCCATCTTGAACTGTTTGGTTCTCGGCAGTTTTGAATTCCCGGTTTTGGAAACGCACACTAGGGTTTTGTCCAGTTGGTGAATGCGTCTGAATTTGGGAAAATTGTTGGAAATTGTTTTGTTTAAGTACGTTCTTTGGACCTAGAGATCTGTGTTATCCACTAATTGTTTTGATTTCTCGATTGGTTTTGTGGGTCTCAAATCATTGCAGCGAGTAAATATCTCTAATTACTTGCGTTTAAGCTTATTTTTCCTGGAATTTTTTGGCATGTTTTTGAGGAATAATATTTTTACCTACCACCTTTGGGTTTCTAGTTTTTGCGATGTATAATTTGATTTTTTCCCCCTTTTGGGGGTTTGATTTCTAGGGTTTCAGTTGCTTCATTTGCAGGAATTTTACCAGAAAGCCTTGATCTTCTATGTTGGTCAGCGATTTTTGCAAGAGTCTTAAGTTGGGAAATAATGGGTCTTTGATCATGTCAAGGATTTCAAGTTAGTATTTTGAATTTTCAGGTTTGTTCCTTGCAATATTTTTTTTTGGTTTTTTTCTCTTGGGTTTACAAGTTAAATCTACTCAGTTTGTCACTGGTTAAGAAGATGCTATTTTAGGGTTTCAAGCTATGCAATGGCTAGTGTAAAGTTTCTTCATAATTTGACTCTCTCTCTCTAGCTTGTTTTTCACTTGTTGGGTTATAGCCAAATTAGGAAGTTAATTTTTGAGCAAATGGGTAATTAAAAAGCCTTCGTAAAGATGGTTTTGATTAAAGTGTAGAGCTTAAGACTACTTTAGTTCCATGTGAGCTCCTTTGTTTCCCCCTGAGAATCTCTTTTTTTCTTGTTTGTGCTTTTCCTCATCTGTCTGCTTCTTTCTCTTTACTTAATTATTAAGCCTTTCAAATGGAATTTCGAACTTATTTTTTTCTCCCTTTTATTTGCAGCTTCCTAGTGCATAATGGTCTCTGATTATCTATTGAAGTAAAGTAGAATACTGTTTATGCAATTTTACTGAAGATATAATCATAATTAGCGTCCGGGGCAATTTTTGCTGTGGAGTAAATGTCGTTTCGCAGTATAGTCCGCGATGTTAGGGATGGGTTCGGAAGCCTATCTAGGCGGAGTTTTGAAGTGAGGCTTCCCGGCCATAGTAGGGGGAAATCACATGGCTCCGTCCATGAGTTACACGAGCAGCCTCTGGTGATCCAGAATAGCCGATGGGCGGGTCTGCCACCTGAACTTTTGCGTGATGTGATTAAAAGATTAGAGGCAAGTGAGAGTACATGGCCTGCACGGAAGCATGTTGTTGCTTGCGCTGCTGTTTGCAGGTCATGGAGGGAAATTTGCAAAGAAATTGTTAAAAGTCCTGAATTCTCTGGCAAAATTACCTTCCCAGTCTCTCTAAAGCAGGTGTGTGTGTTTTCTGATATTTATATAAAATAAATTCTGTGCTGATGGCTTTCTTTTTCCTTGATTTTCTTATTACCTTTTTTTTTTTGGGTAACCATTGACATTCTGACATCATCTGTCGCAGCCGGGGCCTCGGGACGGAACCATACAGTGTTTTATAAAGAGGGACAAGTCGAATTTAACTTACCACCTTTTTCTTTGCCTTAGTCCTGGTAAGCTAACTTTTAATGTTTCTTTTTTGCTTGATGCTGTAAATGACTGAGCTAAGTGCAACCATCTAAGGTTTATTAATTAATGGGGAGAGTTTTAGATGATAGTAGATAACACACCAGAGTTTTTTTTTTTTTTTTGGGTGTGATTTCCAATATGTAATGATAGCCAACTTACTGTAATATTTTGTTGTGCAATGGACGTATGAGAAATGCTATTTTGGATATAAATATCCAATTTTACTCTTATCATGTTTCCGCATGCGGAGCTTCCTATTATTTGGAGCAACTTTTTCTTTGCATTGAAAATTAAGTACACCTTACATATGACTACGCTTTTGATCTTTCACGTTGCATCTTCTGATATTCTTTATTTTGTGATTGTTTTCTCTTTTTGTTCTGCTAAATGTGCATCTATCAGTAATTGGCTTTAGAGGTACTTTTGGTAATTATCACAATTTCTGGATATAGAGCGGGAAAATTGGCAAGTAGAATTCTAACTTGGCCAATATGAACCTTACCCAGTTCCATGGAAACTGTTTTATCAAACTCACGAGTGTTCACTTAACTTTGTCTCTCACTTGATGAGATATACGGTCTGGCCAACTAATTGATCCCATTTTACTCAATAAGTTAAGAAAACTTACATCTGTTTATCTAGGAAATAAAAAAGTTATCATCACTATTGCTTACAATGCATGTGCTTTCATTGTGTCTCTCTTCTTGCCCATTTTGCTTGGTTTTGCACTTACTGTGTGCTTAATGTGTAGTTTTGTTTATTATTCGTACATTTGATATTTGCAATTGCAAATAATTTGTTTTGAATATCCATCAACTAATCTTTTGCTAACTACATGAGGTATTCTTAGTCAAAATAGAAAAAGCTTTGCCAACACATCCACGTCTATGACTCAATGCTAATCATCACTGCTTGCTCCATCTTTGCCAATGCCATTACAGATTGCTGTCTTAAGTTGTATGATTATTAACCCAGAATAAAGAAATGATAAAAAAAAGTAATTGGACCTTGGATAATATTGAGCATATTTTTTGGTGAATGTTTCTCTTTATTTTATTTCCTTCTAGTATTGTATTATGGATGTGTTGTTGAGTAATGTGCTATTGTTGCAGCGCTGCTTGTTGAAAATGGGAAATTTCTTCTTTCTGCTAAGCGAACACGGAGAACAACCTGCACAGAGTACGTGATCTCCATGGATGCAGATAACATATCACGATCAAGCAGCACTTACATTGGAAAACTCAGGTACTAAATCCTAATCTGGTTTGAAGTACTTATATGCTGTAATTTTATATTACTGACTGAAAAAATTGAATCAATGAATAAATTAACGTTTACACTGGCTGAAAAATACATTATCCCGCAAACAAAGTACCCAGATTTTGCATTCAGCTCTTGGGTTTCAAGTTGTGTTTGAAACAGTAGAACTTATTGAAAATTTTGGTTTTACGCTTATATGGAGCTTTTTTTCATCTGGCTGGTTGCTTTTTGGTTTTTGTTTATACTTCCTTCACCTCTATTGGGTTAAGTTAAGTTCTCTGATTATGATTCTTGTACTAAAGCATGTTTCCCTCGAAAGCGTGGTAAAAGTTGGTTGATATGATTCAGATTGTTCTTATGGATTGTGGAGCTGCGCATCTCATGTATGCTCACAAAAATTCCCATAAGCAATAGGCTACAGCTGTATGCAAGTCTCCCTAGATTTATAAAAATAAAAAAAGAAAAAGAAAAAAAGCCATTAAGTAAAATCACTTTATCGCTTGCTAGTGCTTTCAACTAGCCAAATGTTGCAAATATAAACTAGCTTTTGACTGGCTCGCATTTCTTTCTCTGTATCTGCTCCCTTATCCCGTTATGACTAATGCTTGTAAAATGTCAAATGGTGGTTTCTTCAGTTCTGTTTCTCTTCCTCCTAATCACTCTATTGCTTATCTTGGCATTTTGTGTTATTTCAAACGATGAATTTACATGCATGGCATTATAGACATGAGAGGCCCTAGAGTTGGTTCCCTTTTTTTTTTGGTTGGGTTTCTTAACCAAAAATAAATAGTGCGTATTTTGATTTCTTATTTGGAATACTTTTTGGACTCTTGGCAGTTGGCATCATAAAATGATCCTTCTGGATTCCATTAAGGTGCTTATATTCTTTGTTTTTTCTTTTTCGTTTATTTCAGGTCTAACTTTCTAGGAACCAAGTTCATAATTTATGATACTCAGCCTCCCTACAATATTGCTCAGCTGTCACCACCTGGCAGAAGCCGTAGATTCTACTCGAAAAAAGTTTCTCCAAAGGTCCCAACAGGCAGCTACAATATTGCCCAGGTGACATATGAGTTAAATGTACTAGGCACTAGGGGTCCACGCAGAATGCATTGCGTCATGCACTCGATCCCTGGCTCATGCCTTGAGCCTGGTGGTGCTGTTCCTGGCCAGCCTGAGCTTGTTCCTCGTTCCCTTGAGGATTCTTTCCGGAGTATTTCTTTCTCGAAGTCGATTGATAATTCAACAGAGTTCAGCAGTGCTCGGTTCTCAGATATCATTGGTCCCCGTGATGAAGAGGATGAGGGCAAGGAGAGACCACTGGTCCTGCGGAATAAAGCTCCAAGGTGGCATGAACAGTTGCAGTGTTGGTGTCTTAACTTCCGTGGAAGAGTGACAGTGGCCTCTGTAAAAAACTTCCAGCTAATTGCCGCAACGCAGGCTGCTGCTGGTGCACCGACGCCATCGCAGCCAGCCCAATCTGACCATGACAAGATAATTCTTCAGTTTGGCAAGGTAGGGAAGGATATGTTTACTATGGACTACCGGTATCCGTTGTCGGCATTTCAGGCGTTTGCCATCTGTTTGAGCAGCTTCGACACCAAATTGGCATGTGAATAGCAGAGAGAAAAAAAAAAATTTGAAAAGCGATTGTGGTAAGAAATAGAAAAGAAAAAAATAGCTGGCAGTGTTTCTTTTCTAGGTCTTTATATAAAATGTTGTTGTTGTTGTATGGAAGCCATGGTAGACTGGAACTCCTTGCTAAGAGACCGGAGAAGTGCAGAAACAATATCAGTGCACAATAGGCAGGAGTCCTCTTTAATTTGTATCTTTTGTTTTAGTTTGCTTCAATTGATTCCCTCGTTTGTGTTCTTTTTGTTTTAACTTGTGTTGTTATATCATATGCTTCGGAAAGAATTAGATTAGACTTGAAAGGGTCCTGTTTGGTAGGCTCAATATGTGGCTTTTGTCTTTTTAACTTTCTATCTGTTTACGCTGCAACTTTTAAAGAAATTCTGTAATCGCGCTGCAACTCTGTTGTTGGAATCTTAAGCAGAATGTTATGGTTCCTTTTTCTTTATTTCTTTTTTAGGTGACAATTTGGTTCTGGAATTTGTTGGTCAACAAGTCCCATAACTTTCTTTTGTTTGGCAAGTTTGGTCCCTAATTATAAAATATAATTAAGGGAAAATTGCAGAATTTATTTTAAGATTGTATGAGTTTAGATTTTTATTTTTTATTTTTGATTAATACGTTTTTGTTAGTGTAGTTATTTAATTAAAAAATTATTAATTAAGAGTAAAAAATAAAAATCACGATTTATATATTTTAAAAAGTATTTATTAAAATTATCTTAAAATTAAAAATAAATTTATAAAATTTAATGGACGTAGCACACCTATCACGTTAGGGTCCGTTTAGTTCGCTGATTTGAATTTTTAATTCGAGTTGAGATGTGATTTTATATGAGAGTTTTTTACTGTAGTAAAAAAGTTAGATGTGATTGTTTGTAAGAGTTTTTTATTGTAGCAAAACTCGAATTATAAACTCGAATCAGCGAAATGAACAAAGCCTTAGAAACTTAAAAGTCAAAAAATAGTTATGCTCTATTTTTTAAGTACTTTTGTGTCATCGGAGAAAATCTCTTGCTTTTTATAGTTGTTTTTTTAAAAAAATTTAAATTATTCTATACAACTCTTCTTGATATATGTAACTCTTTTTTTTTGTTTTTAAAGGAAATTAATTATTAGAGTTAATAGTTATTCTTTTCGGCATTCAAAGATTGAATTGGTAATCAAAGTGGAGTCAATGAGGGACACCAAGGGAGAATGAAAAACTAACTAAGCGCCTTCTCTACGAATAAGTTTGACGTGATCATTAAGGAAAATACCGAAAACTCCCTTTAGATTTAATGAAAACACCACTTATGTCTCACGTATTATGTAAATACTTAAAACATTTCTTATGTTCCTTTAAAATACCACATTTATCCTAAATATTTTTAAAATGATACGAAAATAACCCCTTACCCAATGCTCAACCGGTTAAATGTCAAAATACCGAAACTACCCTCAATAATCGATATTATTCGTTGAAAAATACCCAAAGCGCCCATTATGTTTTATTAACAAATGCCTAATGTATCCTGTATGTTTGTGTAACTAGTCACAAAATATCATCTGAAGGGATTAAGTTGTAGATAATACAACCATTACCCTCATCCAATCCATATTAGATACTATTTAAAACAGTAAATAATTATAATATTTTAAAAAATAAATTCTAGAACTGAAAAATTCTCAATATAATCAATAAAAGAATCGATAGAAAAAGTAAATTTTGGATGATCTTGTCTTTTTCATAGCACCTCTGTGGATTGCTATTTTGGTTGGTGTTCTTGTTGGCCGGATATAAAAACCTAAACATGCCCCAATTTCTTGGTAGAAACTTGGTTGATTTTTCTGTTTCGAAACGAGACACTCTTTCTTTGTTGTCTTCATATTACAACAACGACGTTGTGTGGCACAAATCTTACGACGGATCTCGGCCATGTTATTTAGAGTAATATTCGAAAGACCTACTCCAACGACCATGAGACATACTAATTAAATATATTTATTAGTAGACTATTTTTTTGTTCATAGCATTGTCACTTCTTTTCCAATGAAGTTCTAACATACCAAAAAATTATTCAGTAAACTCCACTTACTATATCATTGGCAATTATGCTGATGTTGTAGATCCGTTCAAGTAATGGTTAACAGTGTAGTAATAAAACTTGATCCTTTTTATCCGTTCAAATAATGCGGCTGATCCTTTTTATGTCTACTCATATATCTAATCATCTGTGTCACTACTCAAAATTTTTTTTTTTGCATAATTGTTGCAGCTATTCCACCACTGTTAATTAATTAATTTTAAATAATATTCATCTTAATTCTTATACGGAGACGTTTTTTACAGTTGAATCAAATTTAGGCAACTTAATAGATGTTGGAATAAAAGGACGCATAGAAAAGTGCAAAAGATGGTGTTGTTTTGCGAATTAGGCAATATGAATCAATTTTGCGCAAACTTGAATCAATAGATGGCATATATGCAAAATCATAATCTAGATTTTTATATTTATTCATGTATATCTTACAAGAAACTTCAACAACAAAGAGTCCGTTAAAACTCCACCTAATCACTAATCAAAGTCCATAGCAAGTATATCAGATTGTGGAATAGAAAAAAAAAAAAAAAAAGCTGACCTGATTTTCATGCTTGAACAACTACACTCCATTAATCCCAAAGCTGCATCAAATTAACTACACCAAAACCCTACATACCAAACTCTATTACAAATATATGATTTTCGCGTATAAATCCAACTGTGGGATTCTCTCACAATTGCTTCTAGAGAACAAGATTGAGCCATTGGGAGGCTCATGAGCCTGTCTTGACAGATCTACGAAAGTGAGCACAGCTTAGCCATCAACAATCTTCGAAAAATGCCATCAGAACTTCAGAAGTACTGATGATGAGAAAGATCCTTATGGAGTCGTACTTTTACAATCATGGCATTCTCTCACAATTTTTCTAGTGCTAGTGTACGACACCAGTACTTGTGACATTATTGGAAAACTCAATCCTGAGAAAAGTTTTCCACAGTGGAGCTTTGCTAGGAGATTCTATTATACATACACATATATATATATATATATGCATATACATATACAATGTATATATGTATACCCTTTACAAAACTTCTCTGCCGACTATAGAAGGCCTACTAATTGTTTGGAATTCTCTTGGTAAGCTTGATGATCTAGACAACTTTATTTGACCAAGTTGAGGAGTTCGAGAAGATAAGATCATGATTCTGAGTCTCTATCAACCTAGATAATATTGGATATGTCATAGTGGTATGTCATGGTGACATTTACATGTTTAAGTTATTAGAGAAAGGGCGTTATTGCACGTTCTTAACCTCCTTTGCTTAGTTTTTCTTTTTCTTTTTTGATTTAAAAAAATCTAATAAATGAGAGCTTTAACAACTTTGGAGCATTCAGAATTTGTGATTCTCCTTTCTTATTGAATATATTTTCTTTTGAAGAATAATTTTCCCATTAGTGAATTTTGTAACATTGTTTATTCGCTTCACGCGTATCATTAGTGTTTAAACATAATCATAAAAAAATCATTTGCCTAACTTTCACTATTTGATGAACGGTGACCGCCTCCTCTGGCACCCAAAGAAAAGTTTGAATCCAGTATAGGCCTAACTTAACAAGATATCAAAAAGATATTGGCGACCCATATATGTAGATTGTGACAGTGATATTTGTGGGGGCAGAAAACTAAACATCCATAATGGTGGAGCACTAAATTATGTGATTGATATATAGGTGCCGATTCTTGTGTTTATAAAGAGTGTTTGGTGTTATGGATTGCACCATGGAATTGCATCACTAACGAGACTTTTTTAGAAGATAAACCTATAGCACTATGGACTTGAAAGGGAGAATTTTTAAGATGTCCAATGAACATGCAAGAAGATTTTGGAAAATCAAATTTAAGTCTAGGGGGTCCTCTTTTCTACACAAGAAGAGTTTTTGTCTAAACCCAAAACCATCCAATTACTTTTGAGAAATTGGAAAGAGTTTATACTCTGAGAAAATAACCCGTATTAGCACCATATCAAATATAAAAGCTTGCATTCCATAATCACAAGATTTTAGTTCCATAAAAGTGGGTAGAGGGTGCTAGTTGATCAAGGATAAACTAGTCTCACTAAACTTGAAAGTTTGAGAAATTTAATGTGCCATTCAATCACAATCTAAAGCATAATTTTTGTAATTTTAGGATTATACTCTTGAAATAATAATATTGCAAGGCTTCTGAAACACCATTATAAAAGTCAAATTTAAGCTCAAAATCTATTTTTTCTGAGCCATTTTTGGACTTCGATTATAGATAATACAAGTCTAATTAAGAAGGGGTAGAGTACCTTTTTGGGTGTTGAAAGGGTGGAGGGGTTTGACAGGAAGATTGCATTATGCATATCCTTGTGTGGACATTACACTTCACTGAAAACAATGGGATTAATCAATATTATGTAGTGGTTATATATAGTAATTAAATGCCACTAAATGGAGCCCACTTAATTGTATTAGCCCGTGTATTCCCAGTCCCACATGAGTTGCTTAAAGCTGGCCCATCCCAAATTTTGGTTGGCATTTCCTTTGTGATGTTTTGCGCCAAAATAGATTATGGGCCAGCTTTATCAATTTTGTTTACTTTTGTCCTCTTCATCTCTGAAGGGTCAGGTATTGTTTAGGCTAAAAAAACCATTAGGCCTAAACGTGTAGAAAAATAAACGATAAATTATAATACAATTAAGACGGCGGATCTCATGAGGATGTGATAAATTAAATAATAAGTGATTAGTAAATAAAAAGCGTCTAAGCAATCGAACAAAGAAGAGAAAGGAGTGTTTTAATAATTTTTTGAATAAGGAGAAAATTCAATAATTAAAAGTGGTAAGACATTGAGAATCTTCTATATGTTTTGTTCACCTATTTGGATTTGATTCATAGATTGACTTAATTGAAAGTTTCACATCCAAAAAAATCAATCAGAAAATAAATATTTGAAAAATATGTGAATTAAAATGTATTCGAGTAAATAAAATTCTTACGTTTAGAACTAGGAAAAATTATCTTATGAGAAATTTAAAAGCGGCAATATACCTCGGGGTGATATTGTAGTAAAGGACTACTCATAAAATAATGCATACCAATATATAGTATCATGCAACAATCACATAAAAAGAGCTTGACTAGATTTATATAAAAGTTGACAATAAAATATATTGATATGAGGAAGAAATATGATAAAAGAAAATTATTTACTCAAATGTATACAACTTACAAACTATTAGAGAATCAAAACTCAAATAAGCTCACTACACATATAGGATCATCTCTAACCTCACATAAGAACTATGGCTGGCTTGTACATAATTCTCACATAATTTTAAAAAGAAAATATGAGAACAAAAGCAAGGTAAAAATAAGAGAAAAAGTATTTACACTTAA